ACCAAAAAAACACTACTCATATGTCGCCTGTTTCCCATTGCTAACTCCCCTGCTCCTCTTAGAATTAAACAGAGGAGTGCATGTTTTTGAGGACAACTGTTTGGATAGTTTTCAACTTAGATTTTGGAAGTTATCGCGTCTTGCTACGGAGCATAAGGTTTCCAGTGAATTCTAGGATTGCAGGCCGTATTTGTGAGACTAAGCCTTAAAGCCTGAAAGGGAAGACCAAAAAGCCCGGAACTCTAAACCCGTAAACCCTAAGTCCTTAATTGTGAGTCATAAAGCCCGGTCACACTTACTTCCGATGTCTGTTTAAAGCCAGCGGACGGGGGCGTTCGGGGATAGGGTTTAGGGTCCTGAGATGTCCTAGAGTTTAGGGCTTAGGTTTAGAGTTTAGGGTCCTGACATGTCCTAAGGTTTAAGGTTTTTTTCTGCTTTAGGATTTAAATTCAGGTCGGGGTCAGGGGAATCCTAGAAGGAATCCCCAAAATCATACATAGGGGGGGTTCTGAGGTCATTAACGGAGCTTATAGCAAGGAATTTAAGGAATTCTAAAGGGACTTTAATGAGAACCCCAAACAGGGAACCCCAAGAATATAGTAGGAGTATACTAGGAATATACCTACCGGGGTCTTATATACTATTAAATTCCTACTATATTCTTGGGGTTCCCTGTTTGGGGTTCCCATTAGAGTCCCTTTACATTAGGGGTTTAGGGTTTAGGAATGCCATTGACTTCCAAGGTGCTCGTATTTTTCGAATGCGGTTTTAATGGGTTCGATTGCGATGTTCAACTGTTGATTTACACATATGTTGTTGTGTTTCATGTTTTGCAGTTTCTGAAGAGCTCACTTGGTTTTCATGAAATGTTCACTAGATTTGCACTGATTTTACTTCGATCTTAACTGATGTCTATTGGTTATTATTGGATCCTCTATGATGTTCTACAACAAAGCTTCCCCTAAACCCTAAACCTCAAAGCATAATATTCATTACTCCGAGTGAGTCTACTTGGGGTGCGGAGGGGCGGAGGGGGGCCCGATGCTTATTATTAGCGGGAATGGATTTCTTCGGGAATTAGGATTTAGGGTTTGGGGTTTGGTCTTACAGTACATGAAGGTCACGGAGGATTTTCAGTATCAATAGTACCCCGCACACTAAACCCTCAAAGCTATGATTCAGTACCCTCAGAGCGTTCAATCTAAACCCTAAACCCCAAACTTGCCTGTAAAATTGTGTAGAGAGCTAGCCCCTAGAGCAAAAAAAAAGCAAGTGGAGTCCTTCAATAGAGCTTAGGGTTAGGTTGCTTAAGCCCCCTTAGGCCTTAACCCCTGAACCAAACCTTAACGCCGTCTCTAAGCCATAAGCCCTGCGCCCTGAACTCCTCATACGTGCAGGATCCAAGGTTGGGATCTGTTCTTCAGTACCTGAACCCTGGATGTCCTACCTTTTTTGGGGATATACACTGCAAAAGCACGTGATAAACCACCAACAAAAGGGGTACGAGACGGTCTCTAAGGTCCTAGGGGTCGAAGGACCCACACATTAGGGCTTTGAATCCCAAATACCATTCACATTATAGCATCCTGGCCATAAAACCCCATTATTTGGCTCCTTGGACCCTTGGGGGGTTCATCCACTACTTTGAGGAAGCATCCCTAGTAGGCACCCCACAATTTCAGCTTGTAATCCCCAGGGCCCTCGACTTTGACATATCCTACGCGCTCAACGTAATCCTCAAATCCCTTCAAAACCCTAAACCTTCAGTACTGCCCCCCTCAGTAACAGCTGGAGAATACATATAATATGGTTATATATAGCCCTTAATAGGACCCCTAATATAGACTGTTACTGGGTGGGGGCAGTATCCAACCTAAACCCTAAACCCAAGCCGGAAACACCTAAAAAGTCCTCAAACCTTCAAACCGTGAGTCTGAACGCCCTAAGCCCTCGAAAGCCCCAAGCCCTCAATTTTTGCCCTACATCCTAAACCCTATAGTCCCCCTTTAGTCGATAGAATATGGGATATGTATAATATACATATATATATATATAGAGGGATCTTATTATAATGTACCCAAAGCCATGTTCTATCTACTTAAGGGGGACTATATCCATCTGCCAGGCGTGTGCTTCACCGACCTCATCGCCACACCCGAAGAGGCGGAGAGAGCGGTGGAGATCTTGCTGCCTGGCCTGCCAGTGGGTTGTCTTAGGGTTTAGGATTTAGGGTTTAGGGTTTAGGGATAAGGTTTAGGGTTTATTCCCTACCACACATCCCCAACGCGCTCCTGAATGGCTATTATTGGGTTTTCTACTACCCACGCCTAGCTGGACACCAAAGCCTTTACCCCGCAATGTGAATACAGTTGAAACTCCAATTGTCTTGTCCATGCCATAATTCCGTACTAGAAACCAAGTTTTGTTGTTATTCGTTGTTTGTTAGTCAATTTTCTACTCGAATTTCCGAGAAGTTGCCTGAACACAGAATTCAATTTCTGTTCAGAACTTACAGAAATTACAGTTTCCACCAGGTTTCCAGGGAAGATAGAATCCTCCTGAGCCTCCAGGCAGGAAGGCACAAGGAGGCGCCCCCTAGGCCTAGTTACATGACTATACATACAGCCCCTCAACCCTAAGCCCGAAACTCTAAACCCCAGAACTACTTTCCCAAAGCGTGGTTTGGAGTTTAAGGTTTGTGGCAATCTTGCACCAGGTTTAGTGAAGAGGCCTTGAATAGTGTTTTTCGGCCGCGGCCTTACTCAGTTTGAGGCATTGTTGGGAATTCCTTGAGCAATGTGTTATTTTGAGGCCCTAAGAATTTAAGATTTTCCCTAAACCCTAAACCCTTTATAACTTATTCCCCAGATCCTTAATCATCCTCAATTCGACAATCCCTAGAGGCCTTCATAATTTACTCTCCGAACCCTTAATCATATGAGCTGTAGTCTAAACTCCTTCAAGGGGGTTATCTAGGGGATTATATAGGGGACTACTATAGGGTTGTTAAGGGGGATACTAGGAGTTTAGACAATGGCTCATATTACAAATATTAATTCTTTTACTAGTACTACTCGTAACTAGTAATCATGCAAATACTAGTATATGGTACTTACTAGGTCTGCAGAGCCCTTATTGAGGACGCCTTCTTGTCTAAATTCATGGACCCCCTATTGTTACGGGGGTGTGTAGAGTTAAAACCCAGTGCACATTACAATAGTTTAGCATTATGCCAGTACTGTAGTTTAGCAAGGGTCATGCAAGATTTTTTCTAAACCCTAACCGTGGTATCAACCATATGGTCTTGTAAAGGTTTTGGACCCGTACTCCTGGGCTTTCGCCTGAGAATGTCGGCGTAGAGTTTGTTAGGGTTTTCGGTTTAAGGAGGGTGAAGGCTTGAGTATTGGGGGTATACGGTTTTAGAGTATCGGGCTTTGGGAAGCCCAACCCATATTGCAAATTTACCAGCCCGCTCGACCATCCCCCGTTCGGTTCACTCTGAACTCCTGTTGTTTAGCATAGTGAAGGGTCCACCTTATCTTACCGCTGCTTAAAGGGGTGTGGAGTTTATGTTGGGCGTTATTTTGCGAAAAGACTTCGGGATAATTTCAGGGATCCACTCTCCTTCCCTTCAGCACCAGCAGCACCTACATTCCAACTCCCAAAAGCCTTGAACAACTGAACCAACGCCCTACCTCCTTCTGAAGTCCGCATCAAGACGCAAATCTGGACATGCAGAGCGCGCCCTCTGCACTGAAGTCCATGAAGCCCTCGACCCCACCGCTCCAGATGTTAAACCTGAAGTATCCGAAGCATTGCCCTAAACCCTAAACCTTAAACCTTCCGCCCAAAATTCTGAATCACAAGCGTCTGAACCTCCAATCCAAAAATCATAAAAGCTGTGAGCAAATCCCAAATTCCAGGAACTCCACCCAAGCAACCGCAGAAATGGATGGGTAAGCTGGCGTGATTTGATTCTTCAGGGTTTAGGGTTGAGGTGATTGATTAGGCTGCAGTCAAAGGTCGGAGTCAAGGGTTTGGAATAATTCAACCCAGCCCTGCGTTGGAAGTTCCGGAGTTGGGTGTAAGGTTTAGGTTTTAAGGCTTTGGGTGTTGGCTACGTGGCTTTGGGTTCAGGATTCAGGGTCCAGGGTTTTGCTTTCAATGTGGGTTGGGGGCCAGAGGATGCTGTAATGTCGTAGCTTGAAGGCACCTGAAATTTCAACCCAACGTGTTGCGTTCCAAAATCTATATGCTCAAATTTTCAACTAGAGCTTTCTTAAGGGCTATGACGGTAGTCTGTATGCACCCTTTCGGTCACTTAGCACACCTGAAAGCAAGGTGTTGAGGGTAATCATAAGCTCTACACACTTTTGAATCCTAAACTCATAGGGTTTAGAGACTCAACCTTAAGCTTCAAACCTCCAAAGCATCATGTTGCTTGTTGGGGACCGCGGCTGTAGGGTCTGGGAAAATCTAAGCCCTAGACCCTAAACCCTGACTAGTGAGGCTTGATTTGTTCAAGGTCTGGGGCTCAGGGATATAACTCTCCCGGCAGAGGTTCAAACACAGCTTCCAAGGGAGGGCTTCGCAACCTTGAACCCCGAACCCTAAACCCCTAACCCTAAACCCCATATATCCTTTTAAAGGGACCTAATTCTTGGGTACATGGACCCTAAACCCTCAACCCTACATATCCTCTTAAAGGGACCTAAATTCTGTAATTCGAAGGCTTGTGCAAGGTGCCATCTGTAGCAGATCCCCTCCTTTAGTTGCAAGGTACCCTTCCACAAGGATTAAATACATGTGAGTAGTATTTTATTTGGGGATACTATGGTATCCGCAGTCAATAGACGCTGTGTAGATGGGATTACTTCCCATCGAAATAGCCTTGATCCTAAACCCTAAACCCTAAACCCTAAAGATTTGGATGACCACCGACCGAGCCGGAGCCTTGGCGGTGCCTTTCGACCAGGCGAGCAGAACCGTGACCAGAATCCTGTGGGGTTCTGCGGTTGCGGTTAAGGGTTTAGGGTTTAGGGTTTAGGATTTAGGGCAATAATATGCGATTTCTCCGCAGATTCAACCCACTGAGTTGGATTGGCGTTGTACGGAATCGCATGTCAGGTGAGGCTCGCAATATGAAATTCGAGCTTATCTACCTGCGTGACGAAGTCATTACTGGGCATATCTGCCAGCTGTCGATGGTTATGGTCCGAAATGCACAATTCGAAGCACTTTGTACATTATCAGCTACCCCTCTTATCGTTCGTAGCATCAAAGCCAGCGCGGTGGCTGACAAGTGCTCAAGCGATCATCAAAGAGGAATTGCGTAGGAACTTCTGTGTAGAACACCAATTCGGCTGATGCTGAGGACAGCAGAGGCCAGCGCCAATGCCTTCCACACACGGCTCACAGACAGCTGCTCGACAAGGGAAGGTTTTGGGTTCTGGGATTGAGGGGCCTAGTGGACCTACTGTAGGAGCCCACAAAAAAACAATTTTCGTTTGAGGTCTCTTCGAGGCACTCAGGTGCCCTATATACTGAAACTTTACGTGGATCTAGGACCGTAATATCGCATTATCCCTACATAGAAGCCCCTATATAAGCCCAGTGCCCATTTTGTTTCCATGTTCTTTTCCATTTGATTCTCCATTACCCCCAAGCCCCTCATATCGGGAAGTATTTAGGCCCTTAGACCCTGAACCCCAATTAGGCCTAAACCCTACACCCTGCACCCTCGACCCTAAACCCTAAACCCCTAAACCCTAGATCCTAAACCCTAAGCCCTAAACCCCCTTAACATGAGATGGTCCACCCCTCAACCCCAAACCGTTCCGGCCCAAGGGATGCTTGAAGGTTTCAGCATCGCGGTTTTGGTTCAAGGGTTTAGGGTTCAGGTTTAGGGTTTCAGGTTCAAGGCGCAGGGTCAACGGTTAAGGGTTTAAGGTTGTGGGTTTATGGTTCAGGGTCCAGGGTTTAGGGTTTTATCTCTAGAGGTTGCAGGTTGCGAAGCCTAAGGGAAGCCACGAAAAGATTGGACCCTCGTTTTGGAGGAGCGTGCGTTGCAGAAACTTGCGTAATTGCAAACTCAATCATCCTTAAGATAGTTCTAGGACCCCCCCCAAAAAAGTACACCCAAGTTAAAAGAAATCGCCATTTGGAGTTTACAATGGGGTTTGCGAGTTGTCGTGCCTTTCAGGGAAGTCAGGGATGTGCTTTTTGAAGTTTAAGGGGTTAAGGCTGCGCGATTCGGCTTAAGGTCTTCAATGTGAGTGTTGCCAGTTTTGGGGTTTGGGGGTTGGTACATGGCCGATTAGACCCGCAGCGCCAACATACATTGCATCAGAGGGCAGGTATGTGGGATCAAGGTGTAGGGTTACAGGGGAGACCTTGAACCTCCAATTAGACATTCATTCGTCAGCGGAATTACTTCCCCAATCAAACATGGAAGCTGATGCGGTCCCAACCCTAAACCCTAAATCCTAAACCCGTTTTTCTGAGGCCTCTGTTGGGCTTCCATTTTGGTTGCGGGGAGTTACCAGGGACCTCAAGGCAACGTGTGGAAGCGCATCGCCAATACTAGAAAATAATATGGGATTTCCTCAAAATTAAAGGTGCCTTTGTGGCTTTCCCTTTGCAAAAAAATTGCAGCACTTTCGGGAACAATCATTTCGGGAACAATCGGAAACAGCCCATGTGCCCAGGACATTTTCTGGAAACCATGTTACTTTCGTGGCGCCGGAGCCTTTGCCACCACAACCGTCCAACTTGAGCTCTTTGAAACCGGGCAGGCTACCGAGCAGGCTCTTGCAAGCCCTGGAACTCCGAGCGATCATTTTGGTCCTCCGGGATCCACTTTGTACCTGCTCCGGGACCTGCCACGTGCAGCTCCGAAGACGCCTTCCGAGGCCTTTGCACCCGCACAGGCGAAGTTTGGGGTCTATGCTGGGGTCCCCCTATTTTGAGCAACTATGGTATAGAACCTGGGGCAAGTAGTAATCTGATCCCCTTCCACAAATCGGATGTTGCTGTAATATCACATATCCTCAAGCTTTATTGAGGTTGTTGTGGCCGCTTTGTTGCAGATGTCTGTGCAAATAGCCGAAGTTTCTCATAACTGTTCTTTTTCTTAAAGGTGTGGGTTTTCTTTCTGTTTTAGTGCAGCTTCCAGCTAAGCAACGTTTGGCCGCAGATACTGCTCCAGGGATTTAGGGTTTCGGGTCTGGGGCTTACCCAAACCAACCACAAATTCTTCAACTTTAATTGATTTGCTTGTTATAGCACGGAGAAAACACCAGGAATCCAATTCCGAGCTACATTCCGATGCCCCACTCACTTTCTGATGACAGGATGCAAGCAACTCGTGAACCCTACATCCACCACCTGCTCAAACCTTGCCGAACAACCCCTGAGGGGGACATCCATAAACTCCTTCTACCCCGGGATTCTCTAAGTGCCACCAGCCTTCATTTCCGAGAGCCATCAGCCATCACGAGCACCTGTACCCTAAACCCTAAACCCTAAACCCAAAATGCTACCCCGACAGCTCCCAGACAGGGCCATTCTTTTCATCAACAAGCTCCGGCCCTGCACCTTGCAATACTTAAACTGTTTCCCCTACCCCTAAGGCTCCATGTAGGTACTATTTATAGGGTTTAAGGCCCAATGTAGGTATTATTTATAGGATTAGAGCCCTAGGGTACCTCTTAAAACCAAAATCCCCAAGCTCAGAACTTCGGGGCTCAATGTTCCCGAAGCCCCCAAAACCTTAAATCCTAAACGGTACAGTGCCCTACACTCAGATAGATCTTGGACAATAACCAGTGAGGCTGCTCAAGCACCTTCCGAACTGAAGTCTTCCGGGTCAGGCTTGGTGTTTGGGGTTCAGGGTTCAGGCTTCAGGGTTTTTGGATTTAGGGCTTCTGTACGAGAAGGACTAGGATGCGTCCGTCTAGGCTGTTTGGGTTCACACAGTATAGGCTTGATGATGCTATACGGAATTTAGGGTGCATGTCCCAATGTGGATGTAGGAGATATTGCACCACATGAGCCATAGTCTAAAGGCCATCGAGGGTTATATAGGGATTATATAGGGGAGTATTATAAGGGTGACGTATTTGGGGGGATAGTAGGAGTTTAGACTATTGACTATAGCTCACAACCCTGTGCCCTGGGAAGTATAACTTGTGAGTGATCCGACATGAGAGGTGTGGTTTAAGGCCAGGGTGTCTCACAACATGGTACCTTTCGGGACATTCGGGGCGCACAGTGATCATAGAAGCGTAGGGGGGTTCACCTTAAGGATTGAAAAAGCGACTATATGAGCGATAGTCTAGACTCCTTAAAGGGGGGTATATACGGGATTATAGGGGAGTATTACAGGGGTTATTAAGGGGGATACTAGGAGTTTGGACTCTAGCTCATATGGAGAAACTCGTATATGGGATGCTGTGGAAAAATGCTGGGTGCACACATAGGGCGTCCTTCTGGGGGAACAATACGTGCAACTCTTACCTTGTATGGGGAGGCTCTGCATTCTGGAGTATGGCAGGGGCGTAACTCAGTGGAATCAGGGTTTAGGGTTTCAGGTCTAGGGTTCAGGGTTTAGTGTTTAGGGTGTATATCCCCTATGTAAGAGGTTGGGGGTTTAGGGCACTGAAGTTAGTACCTGTGTTCACTTCCCCGCTCCCCCTTAAAAAACATAAGTCGGGGGCTCACTTTGAGGCTTATGGATAGTTCTAAGTGGGGTAATGAGTCACTCCCCCAAATATGAATTGTTCTCGTAGCTATCCTTCTTAAGACCCCACTTACAAGTACCCAGGAACCTTCAAGTACAGCCGAAACCCTAAACCCTGAACTTTCAGCCTACTGTACCCTAGGCGTTCTGAAAAGCAGGTCCACTGTTTTCCTGCAGCCCTCATAGACCAACAAGTCTTTCGAGGGTTCTAGCAGGCTAGAAGGAAGACCCAAATGATTAAAGCGTATGTAGAATATTGGCCTCTTTAGCCTGGTGTGGGAGCATTATTTGACTTACTTTTGGGGTTAAGGCAGAAGGCAGCAGGATTTGGGGTCCACGAAAATCGGGTCGCTTGTCTGCGGCTCGGGGCTTGGGTGTGTGGCTCAGGGTTTGGGGGTGTACAGGGTTTAGGGTCTAGGGTTTTGGGCGCAGGGGCTCGGATAAAAGCTATCGTCACTTAAAGCACGCGTCTTCTGTTGACATCATGCAGCATCTTCATGTTGTCCTGGCACCGACACCTATTACTTTACAGCTAACAATGGGTAGTCCTGTTTCTGAAGCTTGCTGGCTTTTTGAGAGAAAGTACGAAACTGTCGAATTCTGCAAGGTTAGGCCCTAAACCCCTAAACCCCAAACCGCGCGGGCTATATGGGGGCTATTGACGGCTAGTGCTATGATTTAGCTTCCCTCCTACTCACGTCTTAATCTGGCCTACTGTATGACCAGCCGCTTGAACCCCAAAACGTAAAACCCAAGCCCTAAATTAGATACCAAATTCTCCAGCTTAGTGGGTTAAGCTGTTTGAAGTTTGCAACTTTTGCGCGCTAAGTCTAAGTCAACCATCGACTTCCCTCAGAATCGCCAAATGGTTTAAGTTTAGGGGTTGGGGTTCATAGCAATCCTTACATTATTTAGTAGGTACCCCAAGCCCCAATCTGATTATACAGGCCGCTACACTACGCGTTATCACGCATTGCAAGCAAATTGCAGCTTTCGCCCTTTGTGAAGCTCTAACAGGCTAGATGGGGGATCGTGATATGTACTCATGGGTCCCCCTACCTGGGGGCACCCTTAAGCGATTAACCTATCTTGCCCCATCTATGCTTAAGTGGTACTTTCCCAAAATAGGGGGACCCCAATATAGACCCCAAAATACTATAGTCCTTACTATGGGGACCCCAAAGAGGTACCCATAATTTTGGGAAATCCCCAAGTAAGCCTAAAGAAGGTGGGGAGGTAGTAGGGGAACCCATGATCCTTGGACCCTGAACCCTAAAATCTAAACCCTAAATCCTATATGAGCTATAGTCTAAACTCCTTAAAGGGGGTTATATAGGGGATTATATAGGGAACTGCTATAGGGGTTATTAAGGGGGATACTAGGAGTTTAGACTATGGCTCATATGGTACTAAGTAGGGTTTCCACATTGGGACTTTGTAGTATGGTTTGGGTTAGTCCCCTGTACCCGGCCAGGAT